GGGAAGTGTCTCGAGAGGCCACGTAATCGCGACGCCGCCACCAGTTTGAAGAAACTCCGTGGCGGCATCGACCCAAGCACAGGCCGAGAGTTCGGCCGCAGTATCTCACTCTCTGGTTTGTGAGTTTCGCTGCTGCCGCCTGCTGGGGCGCGTCGTGTCGCGCTGCCGCTTCTTCGTCAGCAGCTCCAGCGGCTACCCAGCAGGCGCGCCGCAGCCCCCCTCCCTTTATGTGTGGCATGTTGCGCTGTCGGTGCGGGATGCTTCATGATGCGCCGAAGGGCGCCGAAGGATGAGGAGGAGGAGGAGGTGGATGATGAGGAGGAGGAGGAGGAGAAGGAGGAGGATGGGGGAGAGGGTGGGAGGAGGAGGGGGAGGAGGAGGAGGAGGAGGAGGAGGAGGAGGAGGAGGAGGAGGAGGAGGAGGAGGAGGAGGAGGAGGAGGTAGGATGAGGAGGTGGGGGAGGAGGGGGAGGTGGAGGAGGAGGAGGAGGAGGAGCTGGAGACGGAGGGCGTCGTCGCCGCTGTCGGAGGATGGGGCTGGGAGATCAAAAGGATTCTCTCCCTCCCTCCCTGACCGTCTGCGCTGCTCCTGACGCTCAGCCCGTGCGAGAGGGGATGCAGCTGCGGCGGGAAGCGGAGTCGGGGCGTCCTGGACTGGGAGGGTTACTTTTCAGGAAAGAACATACACATAGACACGCATCATTCTCGATCCCCAGGAATGGTGGAAGCATCTGGGAAGTTGGTGGAGGGCGAGAATCTGGAACATATCGGCAACTGTATGGAGTCCTGGGATTTGTGTCTATTTATTGATGTGTCCCTGTGCCCCTTCATCTTTCCCCTTCCGCTTGCAGCGTCCACGAAGCTTTCGGAGGTCTGCGGCCAGCTGTCGGTTTCGAGCTGGGTGGAAACCCGCGGCATCGAGGTTGCAGTTTTCCACGCAGCCTCCAGCGGGCGCCGCAGGCGAGACCGCCTTCCACGCGCGGTCACCCTCAAAACTGCGGCCAAGCTCACTGTATCATTTGGTCATGAGCGCAAGCACAGGGAGGGAGACAACCAGCAGTGACCAGTGTGACCGCCGTGCTCCAGTCTGGCCTGTCCCAATATGTTGCCCATTCCTCATCTCTCCGTTGGCAGTCCCGTGTCTCATCTCGTGTTGGTCAGGATCGACGCGCTCGTTGTGTCTTTATCGCGTGAGTTGGCTGGGGGATGTGGCACGGCCTGCGCGATGTGGAAATGATAGAATGTGCAATGGCAGGTGCAGAGGTATGAGCAGCAGGACGCAGTGAAACATGTGCGGCCGCGTAGGTGCGAATACGTGTGCAACATCCGCGTCCGTTTGCATGTTCAGTCCGCGGGCCGCGCGCGGCGCCGGTCGCGCGTGCGCTGGCCTGTGCCAGCGGCCCCGCTTGCGGGCCGCCCGCGCGGCGCTGGGCGCCTGCGCGCGCGCGGGGGGCGCCGCCCGACCATCCGCGAGGTCCGCGCTCGCGCCCCGGAGGGCAACGTGCGCGACCATGCCGAGGGAGAAGGCCGCTGCAGCCGAGCGGCAACCCACTCCATCCTCCTCGGGGGCGAGCTGCACCCGCCTTCCTCCACGGCGCAGCGGTCGAGCGCTCGTCAGGGGCGCTCCCAGCAAGGCTGCCGCCCCGTCAGGGCTGGCACTAGGGTTCGCCCACCGCGGATGCCTCCCACGATGCCTCCTCTGGCCGCCGGGCCAAAGCATCGCGCTCCATTGCCGCCGCAGTCACCGCCGCGACGACGGACTCAGGGGAGTCCAGCCCTCGCTGGCGTGCTCTGCCGCCGCAGCCGCGAGGACGACAAGTCTCCCGCTGCGCGCCGCCACCGCCGCACTTCTCGGTTGCGCAGCCCCGCCGCCGCCATGCGCGGACGCGGCAGCGCCCCTCGCCCATCGTCATCGCCAGCGCAACCCCGCCTGCAGCCGACGCCCACGTCGCGTTCACCAGTGCCGCAGGTGGTCGAGGGCCCGGTCGTGTACTCCGACGAGGGCCGGAAGAGGGCGGAGGACATTGCGAAGGAGACCGCGGCGAGGACGCGCATGACGAGCGAGTTGCACAACGCAGCCTTCGTTGACCGCTACTTGCGCACCTTGCACCACGTGTCCACGCAGCTCCCCCAGGACATCGCCAGGTTGATGTTGTTCTCGGAAGGCTGTCCAGGCCTCGAGATGCGCGTCGCACTCGGGCAGGAGGCAGGGGTTCTGAATGATGAGTGTAGCGCGTTGACCCCGTCGCGGTGTCCACGATGGCAGGCAAGCTGGTGGCACTGTCAGCGATGCTGGTGGCCAAGCGCCTGGCGACGCAGTGGGCGGGCACCCCTCGGCAGGGAGTGCCCTGTCGCGCGCCGCCGCCACTGGCGGCTCATGGCTGGGTTGACCTGGCCTGGCACGCACGCGGGCCCGATGCTCGCCCTGGGCGCCCAGGCTGCCGAGCATCGCCCACAGCGCCGCTCGCGCTCACCTGAGCTGAAGAGCAGGCCGTCCTGGCCAGAGCTGGCGGGCAAGCCGCCTTTACCCCCCAGGGTCACCGCCTGGGCACGGCGCGCCAGAGCCTGGTTTCCAGGCAGCCGTGGCCAGGAGCAGTGCGTCCAGCAGCACGCGAAGGGTGGCAAGGACCACTAGGGGGGCAATCGCAAGCCGAAGAGGACAACGTAGGCGGAGGCTTCCACGGGCGAGCCCGCGGCCTCGCAGAGACCCACGAGGGCACCTGCCGCGGCGGCCTCAAAACCCAGAGCGCGCGGGACGTGGAACGGGCGGCAGCTTCCAGGGCGAAGGCGGACAAGGCCGCCGTCGTTGCCGACGCCAGCGAGGGGAGCGACGACAAGTCCGCCGCCGCCAGCGAGGAGGACATCGCGCACGCTGCGGACGCCGCGGAGGATCCCACCGCGGAGGAATCCGCCACAGAGGAACCCGTCGCTGACAGCACCGCCGTTGACTCGAGCCGCCCAGGACACGTGATGACGAAGCATGGCAAGCTCACGCTCGCCTGCGGTGACGACGGGTGGGGGTGACGTGGACTGAGCGGAGCGGCGAAGCGAGGCGCAGGACAACGTCTGCTGCGCCCGGTCAAGGGAAAACCTCAGTCCTTTTTTTCCCCGCTCCAACCTGCCAGTCCAAGGTCTCGTCAACCAGTTTTAGGGGCCTCCGACCGCAACGCGCGGCCCCCACCTAGGCAGACACGACGCGCGGCAGCATGCCCCACACCTACTCAGGCGAGCTGCTGTGTGCCGTTCTTTAGAGCACGAGCGTGCCCGCTGAGAACAGTCGGTGAGCACGCATCCCGCCGCGCCCGCGCGTGCGCCCCTATGTGGCAGCTCAGTATCCTGTACGGATTGGGGAAGTGCGCGGGGGTTGGACACTTCTGGCGTTTCTCTTTCTCGATTCTCTGCTCCGCCAGAGCTTTTCGATCGCCCACGCAATCCCGACTCGAATGGGATGCCGGGTTGCCGTTTGGCTGGATGCGCTGGCGCGAGCGCATCTGTGAATAAAGCAAGTTCGGCATGTCTCATGCTGTCGTCCAACCCCCGCAAGTATAGTTCCTCTTCCTCCTCCTCTTCCTCCTCCTTCCTCCACGTTTTTCTCCATCCGACCTTCTCTGACCTCTTCTGGTGGCAGTGTTACTCCTCTTTTTCCGCCTCACCAAAAACCGACACCAGGACCTCTTCCGGGAACCGTTGTGGTCCGAATTTCGAGACGGATTTGATCTGTCCGTGGCCCGTTTGCTCAGCTCTTCACTTATCTTGTATTCTCTTCTCTTCTCGTTGGTTATATTAACGTATATTTTCATCTCTTACCTTCTCTTCTATTGTGTCATCATCGTTTCTATTCTCTTGTCTTCCCATCTCGTCTCATCTCATCTCACCTCATCTCATCTCATATCGTCTCGTCTCATCTCATATCACTTCGATATTTCCCATATCGTATCATACCATTCCATTTCATTTCACTTCAACTCATCTCATCTCATCTATTACAACTCCACTACATCCCTTCACATCTTATGTATTTTATTTTTTTTTCTCTTCCCCTAGTTCCTGTTTCCTTCGCTCATATTACGTTCTCTTCTCGTCTCTTCTCTTCTCTTCTCTTCTTTTCTTTCCTCTTCTCTTCTCTCCTCTTCTCTTCTCTCCTTTGTTCATCCCTTCTTATCTTTTTATTTCTCTTCTCTTCTCTTCTCTTCTGATATCTTCCCTTCTCATCTCTTCTCCTATATTCTCATATCTTCCCCCTGGTTTCTTCTCTTCTCTTCCCTTCTCTGCTCTTCTTTCCTCTTCTTTTATTTTCTCTTCTTTTCTCTCCTCCTATCTCCTCCTATCTCCTTTCCTTTCCTCTCTTCCTCTCTCCTCTTCTCTCCTCCTCCTCTCCTCTCCTCTCCTCTCCTTTCCTCTCCTCTCCTCTTCTCTCCTCTCCCCTTCTCTCCTCTCCTCTTCTCTCCTCTCCTCTTCTCTCCTCTCCTCTCCTCTCCTCTCCTCTCCGCTCTTCTCCTCTCCCCTCCCCTCTCCTCTCCTCTCTCCTCTCCTCTCCTCTCTCTCCTCTCTCCTCTCTCCTCTCCTCTCTCCTCTCTCCTCTCCTCTCCTCTCCTCTCCTCTCCTCTCTCTCCTCCTCTCTCCTCTCCTCTCCTCTCCTCTCCTCTCCTCTCTCCTCTCCTCTCCTCTCTTCCTCTCTCCTCTCCTCTCCTCTCCTCTCCTCTCCTCTCTCCTCTCCTCTCTCTCCTCTCTCCTCCTCTCCTCTCCTCTCCTCTCCTCTCTCTCCTCTCCTCTCCTCTCCTCTCCTCTCTCCTCTCCTCTCCTCTCCTCTCTCCTCTCCTCTCCTCTCCTCTCTCTCCTCCTCTCCTCTCCTCTCCTCTCCTCTCCTCTCCCTCTCCTCTCCTCTCCTCTCCTCTTCTCTCCTCTCCTCTCCTCTCCTCCTCCTCCTCCTCCTCCTCCTCCTCCTCCTCCTCCTCCTCCTCCTCCTCCTCCTCCTCCTCCTCTGCCTCCCTGCGCGAACAGGCGGAGTGGAAGTTGAGGAGCTCGAAGGGCGCGACGTGCTGGCAGTGCGGCAAGGCTTGCATGCACTGCACCGGCACCCTGCCGATCGCGGCGGCCACCGTGCAGCAGGAGCCTCCCCGCGACCTGCCACAGACGGCCCAAGATTGTTCAAAAACCGCCCAGCAGGCCCCCCAAACGCCCCAATTATGCCCAACATGACGCCCAATAATGCTTCACGAGGCAAGGATCGTCATACTCTTCAGGAGAATCGAGCGCGTTCAGCACCTTCGCTTTGCCGATCTTACCAGCGTCGAAGGCGGCCCAAGAGACCGAGGGGGGCTCCCAGGATCTCCAAGACGGCGTCCACGACGGCGCCCGAGACGGGCCACGAGGGCCCCAAGAGGGCCCTGGGAGACTGAACTCGGACTGAACTCGACCTGATTGCTCAAGCCATCTGCCCCCAGAGGCCTCTCCTCGCGCGCGCGCGTGCGCGCGCTCGCGGCTCCCAGGGCCTGCGCCCGGGCATCCGTCGTGCGTCTGTCGCTCGCCCCTCGAGGACGTCATTTGTTTACCGCGCGAAGCCACGGAGATATCGACCCCGTCCCCGGGACCAGCTCTTCAGTCCGAGCCGTCCTGGTGCGGCGGCCCCTAGGGAGCCCGGGGAGGCCCCCCCCGCTCCTCTGACTCAGAGGCCGAGCTCCCCAGCCCGAGTCGTCCTTGTGCGGCCCTCGGGGGGCCCGGCGAGGAATCCCGCCCAGCGGCCGGAACCTGCACCACCCAGAGCTTTCGGCCCCGTCCTCAGGCTCTTCGTGCCGAGCCGTCCTTCTGCGGCCCCGGGCGGCCCGGCGGGGGCCCCGCCCCCTTCGAAGGCCGAGGCCTCTCCGCCGCGGTGCTCTGCTCAAGGGGCGGGCAGGGCCAGGGGGGCGGGCTCCTTGGAAGGCGGGGGGGACGTCTGAGAAGGGGCCTCGCCTCGTCAAAACTGGGGCTCCAGATGGGGTCGGAGTGGGTGGTGTCGAAGGATCGCGCCGCATCGCCAATGCATCGCCGATGCATCGCCGATGCTGCTCGATGTGGAGCCCGATCTTCTCCACGCCAACGTCGCCGATGCATTTCGGATAGATCGGCAGTGCGGTGCACCCCTCCGACCCCATCTACTCCGACCCCACCTTGGGGGCCTCTATCAAAGCCATGCGCCGAGGCTGCGGCCCTGCGGGTGCGATCTGTCTCTCTCTCTCTCTCTGTGTCTCTCTCTCTCTCTCTCCCGCGCGCGCTCGTGGCGGTTGGGGTTGGCAGCGCGGAGCCTCGCTGCGGCGTGTCAGTCGGGGCGGACGGGAGAGGGGAAGAATCTGGAAGCCGAGGATCGAGGATCGAGGCTGTTGGTTGTCCCTTTTGCTCCTTCGGCGCCTTTGGAGGCCTCCAATCAGTGGACTCTGCCAACTTATGGGGTGCACTTCATGTGGTGCAGTATGCGTGGTGCAGTCTCTGTGAGGGGCAGTCTATGTTGCGCAGCCTACGTGGTGGAATCAGCATGATCGACCCACGAACCCAGAAAGGGATTTGGAACTGCGAGGCATGGAAACTTTCCCAAGCGCCTCAATTGGGCGATGGGCAGTGGCAATGCTGATGATATCGATGGTGATGGCACTGTGCCAGGGGCTGTGTTGTGCTGCTCTGCGCTGCGCCGCGCCGCACAGTGACGTGCCACGCGACGCGCAACGGAACGTGCCAGTGGACGTGCCAGGGGACGTGCCAGGGGACGCGCCGCGCGATGTGCCATGGGGACGCGCCACGGAACGCACCGCCGAACGTGCTGGGGGGACGCGTCACGGACGTGCTAACCATCATACAACCCAGCTGCAGATCCACTGGGCTGCCATCATACTTCAAAGTCAACTGCGAGATGTGGTACGCCCACCACCAAAAGGACTTGCCACACATCAACTCAACTTCTGTGACAGGGTCGCCGTCCTACAACACGATCTCCGACGGTCAATTCTTCGAACACAACCATCGGGTACTTGGGTCGTCGAGATCAAACCGTGTCAGACCTGGCCACTTGCAAGGTCACTTGCCGGCACATCATGGACCAATGTGCCACCGGTGTACGAGGCTCCCACGGTATTCAGATCCGTAAATCTACGGAATGAAATCTAACCGCCGAATTGTATTACGCCCATTCGAGAACACGCGGTGTCAGGATCATCATGCACCCGCTCAGGCATGTAACAAAGAGCTCGCCAAGGCAGCTAATACACGCCTTAGATCAATCGCTGATCGTGGACGCGATCAAGACAGCCGAGGAACTATACGCCTACGGTCGCAACCATTTCGCTGCCCGTGCTGCTATTACCTTCGTGGGCAACAGCGCGGGATACGACTTGAATGATGCAATCGTCCCGCTTCAACCCAACGGTGCTATTGTACGACCACCAGGCGGAGGTCTGGTTGCGCGGGCAACGTCTAGATTAATTCACCGCGGCGCAGTCGTAAGCCCAAGACTTGCAGATGGTACGACGAAGAACCGCACTGCCGCGAATGCCCCGGCTGTAAGGAAGGCTACGGCAGCAACAGTTTGGGACATTCACTCATCCCAGGCGCTTGCAAGCTTGTTTTACTTTGGCAACCATCCGACAACCGCAGAGAGCCACCAGCGGCGCCAGCTGTAGCAGGAGCGGACGCACCTGCACCAGCCGCGCTAGCGGCCTCAATGCGGCCAGCGCGGCCACGCGCACCGCAATCGCTACGGGCGAGACCAGGACAGGCAAATCCGACCGCCGGCGCCAACCGCTGCGACAGGACACGCGGTGTTCATGGAGATCGTAGCGGCTCATCAGGCGGCCAAAGACAGGTTGTAGGAAGGCGGGGACGCGCACGGGGCGGTGAGGATCCACCGCCGCCGGCTTAGGCGCAAACCGAAGCATTGCCGCGGGTGCGACTGCCCGACTGGTCGCTGTTCGATGTGCAGATTCGTCTCCAGATTCTGTGTAGTTTCGACCAACCAGTAGTCGCGAAAGAGCTCTGTAATCTACATTTCCGATGGCATCGCGCCACGGAGCCGAAGATTATGCTCGTCCTTTCAAGGGTGGGTCTTGATAGTGTACGCCCTAGTTTGGTTAAGGCAGTTTGTGACCAAGGCCGTGAACGTAGGGCTCGCGGACAACCCGGCAACGCAGTTATGCCATCAGTCAGTCTCCCAGGCCACTTCGATTAAGTAGCCGAATGCGACTTGATGTTGTACAAACAACGCAGTGTATCTCACGCCATTGGTAGCTGCGTTCGACGGGCAGCTGGACAACAGGTGCTTGAGGGAACAATGCGCGGAATGCTGTGCGCCGACCATCAGTGTTGGATGCAGCGCGGACCTGCCGAGGTCTTACATTCAGATGGTGAACGGGCTTAGAAGAAGAACGCAGCCAAGCTGTGCTGAAATCACAAGGCACCGAGCTCCGTTTGCAAGCGCGTGGCCAGCGCGCTACTACCATCGGAGCGAGAAACCGCATTCGTCGACGCGCTCTTCACGTCGTGACGGGAAAACGCAGGAGGCACAACGTGCCTCTCGTGTTCGCGCGGTTGCTGCGCGAAACCGTTTTTGCGAGCGATGCGTTCGCTTCATTCGGTGGTGCATCGTCGTGCGAGGCCTCTTGCGGGTGGCGGTTTGCGCGCCCCCCGGATCTTTCAACCGTTGACCACGAATTGCACAATGTCAGATCGTGAAATCGAGCGACAGATCAAGGATATCAGCATAGAGGCTAGTGCGTAAGCCAGTGCAGCGGCAGAAACCAATGGTGCACCGCGCGCGAAGATTGCGTCTCCTGGCCATCGCGCGCATGGGCCAGGGGATCTCGTGGACTACCACCGATTGATTTCAACGGAGGGCGACAGGGGAGGTGGGTCAGGCCCATGCCGAGTCGTAAGGACTGGCCCCGGACGGGGCCGAGTTTCGGTGCAGGTTATGCATAGAAGCATACATCGTCCGCGAGTTCGGCTCCGGTGGCGCGGCCGCGCGCGCAGTGCCGGCCTTCGGCTGCCCGCCAGCGAGGCTGGGGGGCCCCCGACGCGCGGCCGAGGGTAATCTGTCGCCAGAGGTCCTTATTGCCCAACAGTGTCTTACCTGGGCTTACTTCCGGATCTGAAACGTGGTCTCAGTGAGATTGCCCCGACGTGTCATTGCAGTCGCCTGCGCTGGCAGCTATGCGTTTGTCTACTGCGACAACGACATTGCATCAGGATTTCACGATTGAGAATCCAATGGCGTAGTGTTGAACAAATGAGACATCGCTAGCATGTCTCGCGCGCGGATGGTCCAATACTTCGAGTCCTCGATGCCAGAGGCAGGCTTCTATGGTGATTTTCCCGCGTTCGAGGAGCTGGCGGACGCGCCGCCACCGCCGCGCGGCCGCGCTTAGGAGAGAGCCGAACTGGCGCCCCCCGAGCCTGGCGACAACCGCTTGCCCGCCGTCTACAAGGAGGCCGGAGGCGACCTCGAGGCGCGCGTCGTGGAGAGATGGTAGACCGAAGTAGTGGAAGATAAGGAGTTCTTGGAGGCCGCTCGAACTGAGGGGCCGATATTCTGTACCAGCCCAGATGATCACCGTAAACTGAGCGGGTGACAGCCACCAGCGAAGAGCAGGGCCACCTGCCAACGCAGGGCGACCTGCAGTGCGACGTTCAGGGGGCATATCGTGCTCCCCCATGCCCAACTAGCCCCGACGGCGCAATTGGATTAGACTCCGACGAGGATAGACAATATGTCGAACTCTGTTCCGCAGCAGACGCGTCCCAGGTCGTGCTGACAGCGCTGCGACAGCGACTGCTCGACGACAGCTGCGTCGCTGCAGTGCGAGTATGTGGCGGTGGCCCGCAGAGGGGACGTAGTCGTCAAGGAGGTCGACCTCCTTGCCAAAGCTGAGATCCAAGCGACCCAGAGGGAGATATCCAGGGCGCTGCGCGCAGCTCTCAGGTCCTGCTCGGGCGACGCACGCAACGCTTTGCAATGAATCAAGACAGCGTCAGACATTGCTTCGAGACGCGCGTGCGAGTCTGAATGCGCCAAGCGCGAGAAAGGAGAGAGATAGGGCTCGTCATTCGACTCCGCATTGCGCGGGGGGGGGGGGGGTCCATGGGGCTCGGG